TGTATCTACGAAGTAATGGTAGGATGAAAAGATGTGAACTTAAGAAAATATTTCTACAAACATAATCTTTTCATTTCCATATCACTATGCAGACCCGCGGATGAGGAGGAGACTTCTGCTAACTACACCTGGGACAATTTCAAGGACATCCAGGGATGCGACTCAGTAAGTTTCGATTTAGAGATTGAAAATGAGCGGAGATATTTGTTCTGCTTGAGGACCCCCGAAAAAATGCTTCTGTTGGATGGTTGCGAGGATAAACCATTTGTCCAGCCGACAAAACGAGGATGGACTACGGATCGGATCGATCGCACAAGCATGATCATTTTCCCCGGGCTTTTTACACTTTTCAACATTATTTACTGGTCTTACTACCTCAGCCTAGATTAAAAGACGGAAACAATCTGATTGGATATGAAAGTGAACTGCCAACTGAAGAATAATCTATCAAACTCAGTGTTTCAAATGTTTTTCAGTATTTCTTCAATTATTGATTTGTTGTGACTTCTAAGTGCCTCATCTTTCGAACATGGAGATTTGCTGCTCAGTTTGTTAAATAAAAAGTTTGTCCACTGATTGGGGAGCAACGTGAGAAGTCAAAGGTTAGTATCTACACCTAGTTTGCATACTATATCATGATGATATTAATCAGCAAGATATTAATCAGCAAGAAAGTACATAAAAATCCAAGGAAAATCTTTGACGGAAAAAGGAAAGCTCGAACCATTGTCATTGATGAATGTGAATAAAACGAATAAAATGCGAGATACACTTGCGATCAACTAAAAAAAACCAGAATGAAGTTTATGAAGTTAATGACATAATGAACTGATTTAGAAATTAAAATTCGAAAATTTATGGATCGAGGAAACGAACGAAAAAAAGCAGCCGCGCTGCCGCGAAACTTGACAAAATATCGACTGATTGCGCCAAAACTAAACGTGTCGAAGGTCACATCGTTCCCCTTTTGATCTTGCGGTCAGTGCAAATATACTGTATTCTGTGAAATATTAATTTTTGAGGTTAAAACATCAACATGTTCTTCAATCTACACATTTTGAAGTCTTCCAGTGCACTCCCCCCAAAACTGCGGTCTCTGCTTTGATATTCTCGTTCAATCACGCATTTAGAGACTTTGTTCTCTTATTGTTAGTTTTATGCCTGTTTCATTTAACAACATAATCATTGATACACATTGAAGCTAATTTCTTGCCACGATGAATCATGTTCATACAATGTAAATTGTTGGGCTGGTGCAAAAGTAATGAGCGTTTTCCCAGGCCTTGCTTCAGAACAACTCTTTTTTATTACCATTTCTAGAAAAAACAGCACAGTATTGCGAAGCTCTTTTTGTGCTCTATCTAATGATGGTTAAAACGGATTTTTGGCCTCTTTTGGTGAATATTACAGAGTTCTATATGACAACACT